GGTTAATGAAGAAATAGAGGTTGGGTTAGGAATAGTCCCACAGTGTAATTAAAGACTCTGCGGCCTTCATTTTACTACTGTCAGGGTCTGGGAAGTTAGTTTTTATATTTTATATGTAGTATATAATATCCAAAATCTATAATATTGTATGTCCCAGTGCTCAGAGGGTCTTAACTTTGAATCCATGGATAGATTTCAGGCTAAAGTCTATGAACCCCAGGAATTACACGTAAAGATTAGTGTGAATATTCATATGTACATTTTTCTGGGAAGATAGTACACGACTTTCATTAGAGTTTCAAAGGGGTCAGTGACCCCCAGAAGGCTAATTAAGAACTGCTGTCATTTAGAGGTTCCATGGCATTCTTCCATCTTTGGGTAAATCATTCTCATTTTTAATGTTCCGATTTATAAGTTTTTCTGCATTCTTCTTACTTGTATCTTGGGCTATAAACAATGATTACCTATGCCTCAGAAATACATTGATTGCTTTAAAGGAATGATTTTTTTTTTTTTTTTTAAATATGTTTTTATTGATTTTTTAGAGAGAGAGGAAGGGAGAGAAAGAGAGAAACATTGATGAGAGAGAGAAACATCGATTGGCTGCTTCTTGCATGGCCCCCTAATGGGGATCGAGCCCCAAACATGGCATGTGCCCTGACCGGGAATCGAGGTGGGACCTCTCAGTCCATGGGGCAATGCTCAATCCACTGAGCCACACTGGCTGGGCTAAAGGAATGATTGTTAACCAAAATGTACATCAAATTTAATTGGGAGTGATTCAGCAAAATATATTGCCCTCGTCTCTCTCTCCACGCCACACCTTTACCCTATACCTACAGAATTAGAATCTCTGAAGATTCTATATAACCCTAATTATGAGCCACTGGGATAAAGTGTTCATATGCTTCCAAAGTATGAATGAGGGATCATGAGAATTTGGAATTGGGATAGTGATAACATTTGTGAAAAAACTGGATGAAGTGAAAGAACTTCTCTCCTGAAGTCTTAGATATACCTTAGTGCTTATTCCTGTAGTATACTTAGGCCAGAGCAACAGTTTCTGAACTGGGCTAACTTGGGAGTCTCTGCATAACTTAGAAAGAATTCAGACCTTCTTTCTCCAAGACATGAGTAATGTAGGCCATCTATTCTGGCATTTGAACTACATACATAGAATAGAGCCTACTCTTCCAGCTTGACTGATTTGGTTTCCTGACTTTGCTTTACAGACAGCAGTGGCCCTTCTAGCACTGTGTCCAGTGCTGGTCCTTCCTCCCCTACTGCAGTGGATGGTAATTGCCCTTTTGGCTTCAGTGATCAACCCTCCCTAAGTTCACACATGACTGAAGAATATCAAAAACATGGGCTGCACCAGGAGATCCCTGGGAATGGAGCACAAGAGCTTCCCACAGAAGGGGAGCAAGAACCTTTTGAACCAAACCAGTCCCCACAGGAACCTCTTGTAGAAACCAGCCAGCCACGTCAGGAGGTTGCTGAGGAGGTCAGCAAGCTATGCCAGCAGGTCCCTCCCATTAGCCAGCCTTGCAAGGACATCCCTGAAGAAGTCAGCCAGCCATGCCAGGAGATCCCTGACAACAACAAGCCATGCAAGGAGACCCATGATGATGTTAACCACACATGCCAGGAGGTCCCTCAGATCAGCCAACTGTGCCAGAAAGTCTCTGAGGAAGCTTGCCAGCTGTACCAGAAGAACCCTGAGGAGGTCAGCCAGCCATGCCAGGAGGTCTCTGTGGAAGGTGGCAGGCTGGTCCATGAACCTCCTGAAGGAGTTGGTGGCTTGGTCCAGGAAATTCTTCTGGAAGTTGGCAGGCCAGCACAAGAGATCCCTGAGAAGCTCAGCCAACCATGCCAGGAGTTCTCTTTGGAGGTTGGCAGACTGGCCCAAGAGGCTTCTGCAACTAATCTGTTGTCAGAGGATATCCTTGAGGTTGATACATCATCTCAAGAAATCCCTGAGGAGGGTGATCTACAGGTCCAGGAAGTCCCTGAGGAGGTTAAGTCCTGGCTGGTCCCTGAGGTGACTGACCAGCTGCCTGAAGAGGATGTTCCCCAAGCCCAGTATCCATCTAGTGATCCAAACCCTCAGAGCCAGTCTCTAGCCCATGACCAAAACTTACCCCTTCCACCAGCAAAATGTGATGATGAATCATTTTCTCACTGATGGTGTTACCCTATACCAGCCATTTGAGCTAGCAATTTTTTCTGTTGGCTAACTCACCTGCCAGCATAAGGTCTTGGATCTTACCAGAGGTTTCTGAGGAAGCAGTCCCCTGGCATGAAACATACCTGTGCCAGAGCTGGGCTTGGTGAGGGGCCAATTTCATGTTCAAAGCAGCCATTGACTCCTCACAAAGCCATTAGACTTGAATACGATTTCCTTTAAGGGGTGGGCTGGTCTATCATTACCCAGCCCCCTCTGAGCATCCAGGAAATTCCAGATTGTCAAAGGAAATGTCTCTTAACTGCTGAAGACACTGTCTGGGGACAAGTGCAAAAGGGGATTCCAAGGTCTTCACTTTTCTGAGGAAATATTCACAACTTCTCAAAGTACCTTTAGACCATATGTGCATTCAGGGGGGACTCTTGTCTTTGCTAGAATTCCTCAGGTGGGCCCAGGATGGCTGTCTGAAATGTCTGGGAAAAAATTAGTCCCTTTCCCAAACAAACATCGTCATGGCCACTAATCTTTAGACTGGGCTTATGGGTATTTCCATATCATCCCCAAGTGCCCTTTCTGCCCCAGTCCTGTTACTTTGGACACTAGCTCTTTGGAAAAATAGATATTAGATTGCTGTGAAAATTTCAGAGTAACTACTTAATATGCTCTGGGGGTTCTTGGCCAATCCGTGAAGCTAGGCCTCCTTTTTTGTGGGACTTTTTGGCTTAGGAGATGCTGTAGTAGAGAAAATCAGGTTCTATTTTAAGCAATCAGCAGAAATCAATATTGTACAGACATGAGCAAAGAATGAAAATATATATATATTTCTGTAGTAGTGCCAGGGACAGACTGGCCAAAGAACAAACACTCCAGCATCCCCAAGAGGTTTGTCCTTATTGTGTCGTTAGGGCCAGGTGTGATTATGAAGCTTTTCCCAAAGATCTGGGGATGGGAATGGGGGTGGGTAAGAGGGGTAATGCCTTCATTGGAATGGGGGGCCGGAACATTATGAGTGCTCAATAAATATGAAATATGAGAATGGTAGTGGCAGTGATGATGTCGTTTTGAACTCAACAAATTGACCTACAGAATGAGTGTGACTGTAAGTCAATCATGTCTGAGACTGAATTAATTTCAACCAGTCAAAATTCTTTGTAGTTGAGCCGGAATGGGCTATAAAAATATAGAGATCGGACCCTGGCCGGTTTGGCTCAGCGGTTAGAGTGTCGGCCTATGGTCCAGAGAAACCCAGGTTCAGTTTCTGCTAAGGGCACGTACCTTGGTTGCAGTTTGTCCCCGGCCCTGGTTGGGTTGTGCGGGTGGCAACCACTCGATGTGTCCCTTTCACGTTGATGTTTCTCTCCCTCTCCCTCCCATTCTGTCTGAACAAAAAAATGGAAAAATGTCCTCGGTTGAGGATTAAAAAAAAAAAAAAAAATATATATATATATATATATAGAGAGAGAGAGAGAGAGAGAGAGAGAGAGAAATATCGAGATCGGACCTGGCTGGTTTTGCTCAGCAGTTAGTGTCCACCCATGGGTTGAAGGGTCTCGGGTTTGATTCCCAGTCAAGGGCATGTACCTGGGTTGCAGGTTTGATCCCTGTCGGGGTCATGCTGGAGGCAGGCATTGGATTGATGTGTCTCTTTCACATAGATGTTTTTCTTTCTCCCCCTCCCCCCTTCCTTCTTCCTTCCCTCCCTCCCATTCTATCTAAAAATCAATGGGAAAATCCTCTGGTGGGGATTAACAAAATAAAACAAAAATATAGAGATCAGGCATTCCAGGAGGTTCCTATTGCAATCAGCCCACCATCCCAAAGTGTCTTTTTAAAAAAATCCTCACCAAGGACTTTTTTAAATTTTATTTATCTTCAGATAGAGTGGGAGGGAAAGAGGGAAGAAGAGAGAGAGAAACATCGATGTGAGAGAGACACATCTGAGTGGCTGCCACCCGCACAGCCCCGGGACAAACTGCAACTGAGGTACATGCCCTTAGTGGGAACCAAACCCGGGACTCTCTGGTCTGCAGGCCGATGATCTAACCGCTGAGCCAAACTGGCCAGGGCCCAAAATGTCTTAAATGAGTAGTGTGGGGCAGAGAGGTTCTATCTCTGTGAAACACCAGAGGGTACACAGTGCTTTTTCATCAGTTCCTTGGACTCACACTCTTAATTTTTTACTCCGATGCTTTGGAGTGTCAGGATGAGTTGACATAAAGGGGTTATGCTCTTTATTTAACCCCTTGGTATCTTTATACTGGGAGGGCCCAGAACACTAGGAAGGCTGGAATATCCCACTGCCTATATATTCACATTCAGAACTTGGCCTCTCCTGACATACCAGGACATATAAAGGGTTTCACTGCAAAGGGAAAATCTATTTTACATGAAAATCCTGACTGCACAAGTGAGATGCTTACAACCTCAGTAGGCTCTGTATCTCTTGGGGCCCCTCAACTTACCTCTTTGGTGTTCCCCTATCTGATGTATCTGATTCTGGTTATTTGGTCCTTAGCTCTTGACCCCATGGAGATCTCTCTCTCTCTGTCCCCTCCCCCAAATCAAATGTACTTCCCTGCCCTTGGTTCAGGTATTGTCACTCATTTTCAGAAATTATGCTGGCTCCTCATATCATTTTTTCCCTTCATACACCCTATGTTCTCTGGCTTCCCTGGGTCCTGGAATTGCTTCATTATCAAAGACATTGAGATAAATTACTATGCTTGGAGAAGCAGAGAGGAAGCCAAGACCCAGCAACTAAGCAATAATATGTGGAGTCAGAAAAGGCCTAAACAGCATCTGTAATGAACTTGATTTATTGTTAGAGTTGAAGGCGGCTCCATTACAGCAGCTGGGAACTAGAGCAGGGAAGTGTGGGGAGGAGCAGCGCACAGCAGCACGGGGAGGGTGGAAGCTGGGAAGAACACAGACGGGCTCATTTTGGTTTCCACAGTCATTTGGCAGAGAAGCCAAGTCCTGACGCGTGTCTGGATTTCTCAGTCCAGCAGTAGTCTGGCAGGGCTGCTCATTGGCTTGCTTGGGGTGAGGTCCTCTCCTGAGATGGTATTTTCAGCCTGTTTTCATCTCACTCGGTAGAAGTTAAGCTTTTTTAGCTCAGCTTCCTCTCCCTTTCCTTCCTCCCTCTCCTTTCCCCCAAGTCCTCTGGCATGGCCTTCACCTCCCAGATCTTCTCTAAGAATTTGGGGCCAGAAAGGCAGCCAGTGTTCCCATTTCAGCTGCAGATGGTACAGTGGAATGTTGGGGGAATCACACATAGCTGGGGTGTCAAATGTTGGGATGTCAGGCAGTGGCTTATTTTTAACCCATTACACACCAGGCCACAGTAGATGACCACATGCAGAGAAGCCAAGCAGGGGATGAGAACGGATCAGGATAATTAGAATGGGTAGGTGAAAACTTCAAAAGGTCAGGGAGCTTGGAAAATTCTGGGTTTGGGGCTGAGCTCTCCTGCTTCTTTGTGCTGCCCAGTAGGCCTGGTCTGGGCACAACTTGGGGATGTGAATGGTATGAAGCAGGGACTGGGAGGATAAGCTGCTTTCTTCTCTCACCAGTCTGTTGGTCAAAAGAGCTTCAAGTTTTGGATTGAGACATTTGGATACAGAGGGAAGCAGTGGGACAGTGTAGCAGCAGTGTACCCCCAGACCCGTGCTGGAACCCAGACCCTGGTGGGTAAGGGGATAGGAGGTGAAGGGTGCAGCTCTGGGTACCTCACTGACAGTATCCTGCCCCCAGGTCACATAAGTTAACTATTGGAAAGCCTTCCTTGGGATGCTAAATAAATAGAGATAAAGAGATCCCTGGGGTTGGGATATGATCTCCTTCCATGAGGGAGGAGGTTGTACTCTTGAGACCCATCCTCACCCCCATGTAATACCAGCATTTGGCAGTGCTAGGAGAGGGTGTCATTCCAGAGTTCTCAGGCATCAGATGACCTCCTATCCTATCCTAATTTTTTACCCTCCCCCTATCCTATCTGTTACCTTTGGTTTAGAGACTCCTCTAAGGTATGGATGAGGGGAAGGGACAACACCTCCCATTTAGCCCAGCCAAAGTCCCCACAAGACATCCTGTCCTCCACCCTCTCCTTCCCCAGCTCCCATGTCCCCCAACCCCAAAGGACCCAGCAGTAGCCATTCTCTAAGGGAGCTGGGGGAGCAGATCCTTGGGGAAGGGAGAAACGTTCTTTCAAAACTCAATCTTGCAGGCTGGGAAGGACTCATCCTGCATGACCACGGTGCTGCTGCTAGCCAGGACCAAGACGTTCAGTTGTTGCTGCTGCTCGTGAGTCTGCTGGTACCACTCACGAGTTACCTCAGTGTCATGAGTAGGAATCAAAGTCACCTAGGAGGGAGATAAGATGCCTGATGTGAGATGTGAAGGGAATGGATGTGAGGGGGACGGGACACCTGATGGTCCAGGAACTAATCCCTCTGCCTGGGCTCAGTCCTTTTATGAATAGAGATTGCGTTCCACAGTTGTCTCTGAGTAAGCTTTGACCCTACTACCTCCTGGGCATTCCTTGCCACTCACCTGAAGATTCTCCCCCCATTGGGCTTTGCCCTCCAGCAGGGCATCCAGTACAGCCCGGCTTGGCTCGCCATTGGCAGGGTCATTCCCACTGACCACATAGTAGGATGCACGCACTCGTCGGAAGAAGTCAAGGTCAGCAGTCTTGCCACTACAATGATTCGGGATATAGGCGAGATCCACATACACAGGGGGGCCAGAGCTGCCCTTGGAACCCAAGGCCACTGTAGAGAAAAGCCAGGACTCATTGTAGAGGGAAAGTAGACTGCTTTTGGCAACCTTCTCTCTTCTTCCCTTCCTCCCACTCCTGGAGCCTTAGACCAGCCACACCCAGCCCCAATCCACAACCTTTCCTACTTTTCACATCATACTTACTTGGTCCTGCCTTGAGTCCATTGACTAGGCCTTTGGACATGGGGCTGTGTCCATCCTTTTCCTCTGCTGTGGTGACCTGGCTTGGAGTGCTACGTGGCCGGGGTGGGACCCGGGATGCTCGATCTGCAGGCCCTTTACCAGGGGTGGGTGAGCGTTTTCCCCGAAGATCCAGACGCCTGGCAGGAGATGCTGGCTTGGCCCGGCCTGGGGCCCTGCGCCCTACTCTCCCTTGTGCCTTCTCCTTTTCCCGCAGCCTCTCTACCCTTCCAGACTCTGAGCTGAGCCCTTCAGGATCAGCCATGCACACATCAGGGCGGGGAGGGGATGGGCGAGGGTCTGGCTGGGGGATAGGAGGTGGGTCATGGCCAGGTCTGGGATGGTGAGTTCCACTGACCCCCCCAGCTTTGTCCACAGGCAGGAAGTCCCCATCTTCATCTGAGTCAAGGGCTGCCTCAGCTGTGATGGATGGACACTCCTCAGTTTCTGGTGGAACATCAGAATCTGACTGTGAGGAGCCTGAGTCACTGACTGATGTTGGGGGTGTCTCATCTGCCACCGGACATGGGCCCCCCGCCCGGCGCCTACCTCCTCTCCCTACCAGCTGAGCATCCTCAGTTGAGAGGTCACTGTCAGTTGTGGATTGGGGCAGAGGTGGGTTCAGGAAGGATGGGGAGAGCTCCCCACGGTGGGGCCGGGGCTCAGAGGCACATCCCTGGGGCCCAGCCTCCATCTCAGGGGAGTCACTTCTAGATGGGCTGCCAGCGGTCCCTCCAGTACAGAGTGGCTGATCAGGAGAGAGCAGAGTATCAGGCCGGGAGCTCCTCTCAGCCCCCTCAGGCCAAGCCCCCCGTTCCCAGGCAGGGCAGCCTGCAGCCTCTTTTTTCTCAGCCTTGGCTGGGGAAAAGCCTGGGGGGTTGGGGCTGGTTTCAGTTGGACCATTGGTGGCATAATCCCCAGAGGGACCCTGGAAGGAGCTTGGCTTCTTGGTGGCCGCCACTGAACACTCTAGGTGGCAGGGCATGGTGTCATCAAGTATGTCTCCAGGCAAGCTTGGAGCTGGAGCTGGGGTCAAGTCCAGTGAAGCTGGAGGTGCTGGGCTCAAAGGAGTTGGGTCCCAGAGGCCATGGGCAGTTGCCTTCACTCCTGGGGCCAGGTCTACAGACCCCAGTTTTGCAGCCTCCAGGCCAGCAGGGAAGTACTCAGCCACACTTGAAACCACAGGTGTGGTGGCCTCAGAGGAGGAGCCTTCAGACAGGGCTGGTGAGGCAGGTCGAGGCAGGCTGGAGAGGAGAGGGGCCCCAGAAGAATGAGCTGACGGGAGCTGGGGCAGTGAGGAGTCCAGGCTGGGGGCCTTGGTCACTTCTAGGTACTCATCGTGCCGGGCTCTGCTGGGGGGCCCCGGAGCCAGAGCCAGAGCTCGGTCCCCAGAGAAGGCAAGGGAGCCACAGGGTGCTGAGCGGGGTTCAGCCGGAGAGGGCAGCTGTGGAGGAGCTGGCTGCAGTGAGGAGAAACCAAAGGCTGAAGCAGGGAAGTCCAGGCTGGGTGGGGCAGGGCCCAGGTGTGAGTCTGAGGAAGGACTGGTATGTGATTCACTTTCAGGCCACAGTTTAGGGAGCCCCACAGGGATGGGGCGAGGGGGACTTGGGGACTGGGCTTCTTTCTCTGGCTGCTCCAGAGCCCCCTTCTCTAGCTCTGAGTCACTAGTGTGGTCATCCCAGTGACTTCGGCCTGATTCCTTGGGGGATGGGGTTTTCCTATCTGGACTACAGCTCAAGATGTTACCATTAAGGTGGGGGCTTGGGCCTTTACTCAGGGGGATAGGAGCACGGGGGGGTATTGCAGGGAGGATGAGGCTGGGCTCCACACTAGGCCCTGGATCAGGCTCCTGCCTTGGTGGTACAGTAGGTCCCGTCAGGGCTGCATAGCTGAAGGACGGGGTATCAAATTGGAGGCCTTTAGGTGAGACAGGAGACGAAAGTTCCTTTTCTGCAGATGTGTTTCGGCCAGCAGCCTCCTCCTTGGTTGAGATGTGTGGGGGCCAATCCCCAGCTGCTCCAAGAGGAGGTTCCCTAGTGGGGCATGCAGGGCCAAGCCCAGTAAGCATCATCTGCTCATAGATGTCCGCGTACTGAAAGCTTCTCTCATCAGGATAGGGCGTGGGCTCTCTCTGCTCTGGCTCGGTCTGCTCAGGCTCCTTGGTGGCATGGCTCTTGCTGGCCTCTGAAACCTTTGAGCTGTGAGGGCTGCTGTCAGGAGCCTCAGCCTGACCTTCTTCTTCCCTTTTCCCTTCAGCCTTGCGGTAGTCCTTCCCAAGGGGAGAGTATGGTCCACCTTCTAACTCAGCTGCCCCCTCCTGCACTGCAGCCACCACACTGTCACACTCAGCTGTGCCCCAGGAGAAGGGCGCAGAGGTGTGTGGCTCAGGGGCAGGAGTTGGGGGAGCTGGAGCTGGGGAGAGGGGTGCAGGGGGCAGGGGTCTGTCCTTGGGCACCCATGGTGGGATGTCAGCCAGCCATGAGGGGGTGATGGGTTCATTCCTCACTGTAGGCATGGGCTTACGCTCTGGGACAGGGCTCTCTCGTCCTGGGGCCAGAGGAACCCTCTGTCTAACCATCTCAGGTGGGGAAGCTGGGGGAGAGATGATCTCAAAAGGGGAGCGGGTAAGCTTGTCTTCTTCCTCTGGTGGCAGCCCAACTGGTGACTCAGCAAGCCACCGCTCCACCTCCAGCCCTTTCTGTGATGAGGGCTCCTGGAAACCCTTGAAGTCTGAGGCCCAGGGGCTCTTGGGCATGTGCTCTAAGGGGGGCACTTCTTGGTCATCATCTGGTCCCTCGTCAAGGAAAGTGCTCTCCCGCTCCTCTGTATACCGTGGCTGGGTCCCCTGGCCACCCAGCTCATGAGGGAACCAGACCTTCCTCTCACAGCTCAGCTCCCTCCAGTATGTGTCCTGTTCCAGGGCCATATCCTCTCTGCCTCTCCAGTACCTGTCCTCCTGCTCAGGAGATGTGTATTCCCATGTCTGGGCAGGTTCTTTCTGTTCTCCAACTGGCTCCCCTCCAATTGGAGATGTTTCTCGCCACTCCTGGACCACATCCTGCTCCTTCCAGTATTTTTTTTCCTGCTCCTGGGCCTTGTCCTCCTGCACTGGGCCCTCTTCCAGCCCCAGAGCTTTGGTCTTTTCCAGCAGAGCTTCTTCCTTCTGTTCCACAGCCTCAACTTTTTCTGAAGATTTTTCCTCTAGAACCTTCTCCTTTGATTTCATGGTTTTCTCCTGCACTGGGCTCTTCTGCTCCTGAGTTTTGTCTTTCTCTTCCAGAGCTTTATCTTTTTGTTTAAGAACCTTATTGTTTTGTTCCAGGGCTTCATCCTTCTGTCCTAAGGCCCAGTATTTTTGTTCTAAGGCCTGATCCTTTTTTTCCAAGGCATTGTCTTTCTTGTCCTGGGCCTTGTCCTTCAGTTCTGAGACCTTGTCCTCTGGAACCTTGTCTTTCGGTTCCAGGGCCTTGTCTTTCTTTGCCAGGGCTGTGTCCCTTTGTCCTAAGCCTTTGACTTTTTGTTCAGAAGCTTTATCCTGCTGATCCATAGCCTTTTCCTTTTCTTCCAGAGCCTTACCTTTCTGATCAATGGCTATATCCTCCTGCTCTATGACAATATCCTGCTCCAGAGTTTTGTCCTTCTGCTGTAGGACTTCATCCTTTGGTTCAAGTCCCTTGTCCTTCTGCTCTAGCAATCTGTCTTTCAATTCTGGAACTTGACCTTCCCACTTCATGGCAATGTCTTCCATGGCAAGGCTTGGCAAAGACTCAGGACTCTTGGTGAGGGAGGTATCAGGTGTTAGACTGTGTTCACCAGGGCTTGTGATCACTTCAGGAGAGTGCTTCCCATTTTCCAACAGTGTCGTGTGAGAGGAGCTGGCAGGTAATTTTCCATCAGGACTGTCATCTGTAATGTCTGCCTGTACAGAGTATCTAGTGTTCTCATCTGTGGGAGAAGACACTGTGGCTGCACGGGGTTCTGGAATAGACATGGGGGCTAGGTGCTGAGAGGTGTCCTCAGCCTGCATCAGAGATCTCTTTTCTTCCTTTCCGAGATTTAAGTCCCCAAACAGGAGGGTGCCAAGACTCTCTGGAGACAGCTGCTTAGAAGAGATATCCAAAGAGGTCTCCTTGCTGGGACTCTCCTCTGAGAAAGAAAGTGACCGGGTATCTTCTGGAGATACCTGAGGCCAAAGGTCTTTGTGTAGGTGCTGCTCTGTCAGACCACAGGGAGATCTGGGGATGGCTTCCTGGTTGGCACTGTCTGGGGAGACCACACTGAGGATAGAGAGGGACTCTGCATCATCAGGGGAGAGGCTTTGGTCAGGAAATTGGAGCACCTCTTCTTTCTGAGGTTTGCCAGGTTCTTGGAGTGATGTCTTCAAATCTCTCGGAAGGGCTTCTGTTTCCAGAATTGTGCCTGTGGGTTCTCGTGTCTCCACAGTCTCAATGACTATTGCTTTATCCTGTTCTGGCAACAGTTGGGTGGTATCACCTACATGTCCCTCAACAATGCTGATAGCTGCTTTCTGAGCCTGGGGGCTCATGGTAGGAGGTACTTTCCCCCTATTCTCTAGTGTATCCTCTTCAAGCCCTGGCTTGACTGTCTCTACAGCATCTTCCTTGCTCATACCTGGTGTGTGCCTAGTGTCTCTCCAGGAGCCGGCTTCCTGAAAGTCTTGGGGCTCAGACTTTTCATCCACTGGGGACTGATGAAAGGGTGTGTGGGTAGCACTGGGTGGGCCAGATGGTGGAGGAGAGGCCATCTTCACTGTACTGTCATCTGGGCTGAGGCAGCGCTCCTCCAACTCTCCGAGGGCTGGTTCCCCTGGATATAGGGTGTGCCCAGGAGCACCAAACATCGGGCCTCCATATTGACCGTGAAGTTTCTCAGATATATCTACATTTGTGGTGTCCTCTTCCACAGCTCTTTCTCCAGGCAAGCCCCTCCCTGCAATCTCTCCTCTCTTTTCTGCCTCTCCAGTCACAGAGAAATCCTCACAGGGTGGTGATTTGAAGCCCTTGTCTTCTTCCAGTGAGGAGGTGGGTGAGATGGTACCAGCCGATGGCACATAGTCCAAGCCCTGAGTGGCTTCGGTGCGGGATGACGGGATGCTTGTGACTGTGTCAAGCAGCAGGGAACTCTTGCCTGTCTCCTCTGTCTGGGGAGCTGTGAGTGAAGCCACAGACTGGTCCTCAGCCACAGATGTGGCAAAGGAAGAAAGCTTGTCACACTCAGTGATTGAGGTAGCTGAGGACACGTGCTCCTCTTCAGCCAAAGGGGCAGCCACCATGTTGGGGGGGTAGGTGAGTTCAGTCTCTGATGCTCCAAACCCTTTGCTGGAGGTGATGGGAACAACACTGTCTGCAGGCTGACTAGCCTCAAAGGGGCCAGGATCTTCAGGCCCAGGGAGGTCATATGCACTTGTAGGAAATCTAGGTGGAGCTGGGCGCTCCTCTGGCTCATCATGGATCTCCTCATCTGAGATGGTCTGCTCCGTCTCTGAGTAACCAGGGATTGTTTCATCCTGGATATAAGAGACGTGCTCATTGGCTCCTGCAGGTGTGGCCAGGCTGCTTAGGAATGATGTGGTCTCCTTCTCAGGGGCCTTGCCCTGGAGTCCCAGTTCCCGGCCCCCAAGAGCCTCCCTGCCCCTTGGAGTTACCTTCCAGGCTTCCTGCATATGTTTTTGATAAAAACCCTCAGCCTTTGTCTCTTCCTCTTCCTCCTCCTCTGAAGGGTGCAACTCCTCCATTTCTTCTAACTCAGCCTTTTCTATCACATCCTCCTTTACCTCAGGTTCACTTTCCTCTCTGGCTTCTGTTCTATCAGGGAGCCTCTCTGATTCCTTTTGCTTCTTTTCCTCCCAGGTATCTTTCTCTTCCTCTGTTTCAGCTCCAGAGTTTGGGCCTCTATCCTTGCTGCCTTGCTCCTCAGGGGTGTCTGGGACAACCTCTTTCTCCTTTATCACAGGCTTTTCTTGTTCCAGCCCTGGGACAGAGGGTGGTGTCCCCTGGGCAGCTGTGCTCAGAAGTCCCTCCTCTGTGGTGTCTGTAGAGAGAGGTTTCTCTTCTAGTCCTATGTCCCTTTGTTCAGCCAATAACCTCCCCTCCTCACGCTTCATCTCCTCAAAGTCCTGTGTGAGGTCCTCTGGTGAAGACAGGGTCAGCTCCCTGTGCCCACTGACTGTTGGAAGTGGTACAGCTCCCTTCTGGGCTGGGGGTATCCGGGGCTCAGAAGACAGCTCCTTCTCACTACGGGCAGCCCGGCTCTTGTCCATCTTGACCCTGCCAGGGGCCTTGGCTTTGTAGAGGGTCTTACGTACCTCAGGAGTAAAGGGCTTCAGGTCTGGCTTGGAAATTTTCTTGACCTCAGGTTTGGTATCTTTCCTCTTCTCCTCCTTCTTAGCATCCTTCTTCTCCTCCTTCCTTCCTTCATCTTTCTTGAGCTCCTTTCTCTCCTTCTTGATCTCCTTTTTCTCTTTGTCTTTTTTCTCTTCCATCTTTGATATCTTTTCTTTCAGGTGCTTCTTCCCTACCTTGTCTTTGATCAGCTTTCGCTTCTCTGCCTTTAATGCCTCACTTGACTCTGTCCTCACCCTTTCAGGCTTGGCAGGCTTCTCTGGGGGCTTCTCAGATGACTCCTTTACCTTCTTCTCTGTCTTGGCTAACTCCTTGGCCAGTTCTGAGCGGGCCTCCTTGGCTCCCTCTTCAGCCACTTCCTCCCGTTTGGCCAGCTTGCTCACAGCTGTCTTAGTAGTGGCCTTCAGGCTCTCCTTGCTGTCAGCCCGCTGTTTTATTTTGCTGGGTTTGAGGTTGGCAGGCACAGCCCCAGCAGCCAGGTCCTTTTGAGTGGCCACAGGGTAGCGTAGGAAGTCCAGGTGCCGAAGCTTTTCCAGGCCCTCCAAGATCTTGTTCTGGGGAGCATTTCCTGGGAAAAGCACACGTACAATCTTCTCAGTGGGATTGGCTGGCAGCCAGACCACCAGAGCAGTGATAGAGGTCAAGTAGGGCACCGAGATCTCAGCTTCCTTTCCATTAGCCAGCACAATGCCTGTCTTAGCTTTGCTATTGCCTGCCCACTTCTGCATGAGGAACTGCATCTCCTTGCTGTCTTTGACAGGGTTGAGAACGTACATGTCTAGCCGGCCCACACCCATCTTGTGGAAGAGGGTCAGAGGCTCAATGGTGTTGCTAACTACACGGTACAGTGGTTCAGCCTGGATTCCCAAGCGGTTTAAGTGCTGCAGAGTAAGGCAGGCCTCCTCAATGCTGCGCTTGGCCTTCCGGGAGGCATCAGGCAGCCGTAGCTTTTCAGGCACATTGAAGAAGACAACTCCAAGCTCAGGGGAAATGAGGTTCTTCACCCAGTCGCTGTAGCTGCTGGAGCCCTGGGACTGCTCCTCCTCCAGTTCTGCCACTTTGCGCTGCAGGAGTCCATTGATGCCTGGCAGATTGTCTGCTCCGATGTGTGTCAGCAGCACTGAGTCAATGCGGTCCAAGTGCCGCACCAGCTTCCAGAAGCAGGACTTGCGATCAGAGCCACCATCCACTAGGATATTGAAACCATTAACGGCAAAAAGGGCAGAGTCCCCACGGCCACCAGGGAAGATGTAGCAGCAAGGTTTGGAGAGCTTGAGGAAGCCCCCTGAAGTAGGGGGCTCTAGCAGGTCAAAGGGGGATGGCACATCCACGGTCTCAGAGACATACTCAGAAAACTCCGCCACGCCATCCATGGTGGGCAGTGTGGGTTCAGGGTTTAGCCGGAGATGCAGGGTCTCTTGGGAACTGGATAGTCCCAGGTGGCTCCAGTCACCCTCCCCTAAGCAGGACACGGTGAGGAAGGCCTGGATCCCAGGGTCTCTATTGCTGAGCAATTGGGCAATCTAGAGTAACGGGAGATAGAAGGCTGATCAGGTCATTGGGATTGTCTTAATCCGACTCACATTCAGTTTGCTAACTCCACCACTCTCCAAGGTAATATCCTACCTTTCTGCCAGGGCACCAAAGGTCAAGCAATATGAAATTTTCCCTCCCCGCAGCTCTAGTCCTATTCCGTACTCTGTTCTTCCCAGACATGCAGACATGGAACTTACCTCTGGGTTGTGAAGAACCTGGGCAAAGTTTTGATAGGAGTAGGTACCACTCTGTAGGATGAGGTCTCCCCCTGGCTCTAAACTTTGTCCACTCAAGATCAGTAGTTTGTGAGCTGATGGGCTGCTTAGTAGATGGTGAACCTAGAATGGAAGGAAGAGAGTGATCATAGATGTAGGAAACCCAGGGAAGGGCACTGAATGTTCCTGGTTTCCTCTCAGTACTGCAAGGACATGCTCCCCACTGGTAGCCCCATAACACCTCCAGAGTGGGGCCGGAGATTGTAAGGCAGCTTAGATGGCAGAAAAAGGATGGTTCAAAGCCAAGTCCAGGAATTCTTGGCCTCACAGCAGTAGCACTGGCAAGGGTGAGTTACAGCACTTTCAAGCCAGGCCCTCATGGAAGGCACAGGCCCTGGCCTTACCTCAGAGCTGATGCTGTCGGCACTGGGATTTACCAGGATAATGGTCTCTAGGATCTCACTCTGGTGGCAGAGGGTCCTCTGGCCTGAGGGAGAGATGCAGGGATTTGTATTGAAGATAGTGGGTATAGATTAAAATAGAGAGGCATTGTGTGGGGCAGGAGAGAAAAGAATGCACTATCAGAAAATAGGGCCTAAGAGAAAGAGAAGCCTGGCTATTAGATCCTGCCACTTTAGATACTGCTGAGTAAGGTCAAGGGACTGGCTCCTTTAGCCCTTCCCTTTCAGGGTTTCCTCCTCCCCTCTTCCTCACAGTCTATCTTCTCCCCCCTTCATCTGCCACACCCTCTGCCTGGAACTCCCGCCTCAGACTGCCCTGTTGACAAGAAGCTTTTGTCCCTCTAGAGCACTAAGCTCCTGGTGCTGCCTGGAGATGGGGGTGCTCAGCTGGAGGGACGGCTCCTGGGACATGATCCTCACTCAGCTCTTTCCTCTCTAGCCTGCATCAGCCTTAGGCTTTCGTGCCAGCAGAGTGCCTGGAAATAAGGAGATGGGTGCTTCTGTGCAGTGACTTCAGACTCCCCATCCTCCTTTCCTACTCCCACCCCAGGCCAGAATTCCCATTCCAAAAAACAGAGAAGTCTGCACTATCTAAACCCTTGGGGTTTTTCAATTCAAAGAATAGAAACAGGACTGTAACTTCTTGTTCTGTTCTCTGGTTCCTGAGAGGCCAAGCCTGCAATCACAAACATGCACCCAGTCATATTGTTCCCACCTTGCCTCCATGTCCCCAGGCTTCAGAGAGGCCTGGTTCACTACCCCACAACCCATCTCTTGTGAACAGTTTTTCCTCTCCTGTGGGCCTTCTGCCATGGAGAGGGGAGTTAGCGGTTCATGAACAAGAAACAAATAAGGAAGGAAAGACTGAGTGTTCCCCACCCCATGGAAGACACCCTCAAATCCCCTATCTACTTCCCTTCTCCAGGCTCACATGAAACACCGAGCAACACAGCAAAGCAAGTGGTAGGTTAGACAGAAGATACTGAAGATAGATGCTGCCAGGCCCTGCTCCTACCCTTGCCAGTTGCAGTACACAGTGGAGTTATCTTACAGAGAGGTGAACAGATGGCCTGGGTAGTGGGCTCTCTGGAGGATATTGATGGGAGGGCTCATAATCTTCCACTAGACTCTCTTCTGTGAGCCAGCTCTCTCCTCTTTCTTGGGCTCTGACAAGAGGAGCCGGGGCCAGGGCCTCTGTCAAGTGGAAGAGCCTTGGTGCCAGGATCAGGGAGACCTGGCAGCAAGGAGCTGCAGCTGCAGGGGAAGTTAACTATGGAGAGTGGCAGAAGATCAAACCCCACACAGGGTGGGTGGGGCCCAAGGGGAGTTCAAGGGTCCTTGGGAACTGAGGGAAGCTTTGAGGTCAGTTCAGAGGAAGACAGGGCCAGGGCTGGGGCAGGTGAGGGATAGCATGGTTCAGGAAGCAGCTGGTCCTAGGCTAGCTCTAAGTAGTTTAGATTTAGAAAAGCAATTCCTAACACCCCCCCACCCCCCACCCCCGCAACACACACACCACAAGGTTGCACATTTGAGCTAGGAGACTCAGAAAAAGAAATATCTGTGATACAAACTGATTTGCTTCCTATCTACCACTCCCCCTACCAATCTATCATTCCTTGCAGACGCCTGTTTATAACCACTAAACTTCTCTGATCCCAGTTCCTGTCTTGGCACAAGACTCTCTCCATCTCTCAGCTGCTCTCCAGTTCCGACTGGCAACTACATGGTTTGCATCCTGGCCCCTCCTTTTCAGGCCTGGGAGAAAGCACTGTTTCTCTCTTCTGCTCCCCCCAACAATCCCAGCAAAGGCAATGGATTTATTTTTCCTTTTTACTTCGAGAGGACTTCTTGTGAGTCAGGGTCACTTCCCTTGGCCAATGATGGGGTGGGGGTGGGCTGCGGGTGCTGAGGCTGATCCGGCAGGAGGGCAGGTGTCTCTGCAGTGAGGCAGAGGGGAGGGGAGCCACTCGGGCAGCTGCAGTTTGCCGCAGTGTGTGAGTGTGTGTGAGTGTGCGCGCTGAGCTCAGGCTCCAGCTCCGCCCCCACCCCCACCCCCACCCCAGCATGACAAGTCATTTTCTTGGCTGCCGGGGTGGGGGTGGGGGGTGAGGGGGATGAAAAGAGAGAGAAGAAACTGGCTCTTCTGTTCAAGAGCCCCCATCTTGGGAAGAGCAGCAGAGATGAGGTGGGGGTGGGGCTGAGACTGGGAACCGGTGGGGTTGACAGGACTGGGAATGCAGGGCAGCTGCTCGGGAGGGAGTGCTCTTAATCTCCAGAGTGGCCTCTCAATCTCCGGAGGAAGCCAGAGAGGGGTAGGGGTTTAGAGTCCCAATCTCAAGCTAGAGCGGGGAAAGGGGTACGGGGAGCCTACTGCAAATAGGTCAGTCTGTGAAGAGGTTCGTGCCACGTCTTAATGACTCCTTCTTCCCTTCTTTTCCACAGTATCCCCCACCTTCCCTTACTTGGCAAAAACTCGCTGTCCCACTCACCCCCAACATAGGAGCAGCTGAGCAACCTAGCAGCTGACACACAGAGACCCTCCCATTAGGTACATTCCCATAACATCCGCCTTTCCCTCAGATTCTTCTGACTCTGCCCCAAGGCATAGCCGCAAACTCTTCCAGCACCCAGGCTGCCAGACAGAACCAGTGACACCACCCTCTGCTGCTGCCCCTAGGCTGATGTCTCCCAGCCCAGCCCAGACTGAGAGGTGGACTATCACTGTCCTGGCCTCATTGGCCTGTACCCGGTTCTCGGTCCAGGCTGGCCTCAAAGCCAATAATGTTCATCTTTCCCCATTCCCTCACACTGCCTACCCTGCTGGACCAGTTCCAGACACATCAGATTAGGTATCAACTCCCTTCCTGTTACCCCCATCCCACCACTCTATCACAGCATCCCCCATTCCCCATGCCAAGCCCGTCGGTTCCGTTTGGTTCTTACCCTGGATGTGGGAGGGAGCCCCTCATGGAGGCTGAAGCTCCGGCCTCAGCCGGCAGCTTCAGGGAAGAGTCTGCAGCACTTGGGGTGGGAGTGGGGGGGGGGGCGCGCTTGATGGGGAGGGCGGTGCCAGGGCGGGGAAGAGGGGCTGGTCCATGACGAGGCACTGGAGACTTAACTGTTTCTTTGCCTTCACAATATCAGTGCTCTGGTTCCTCTTCTAGGTTCTGGAGGGGGTCTGAAGAGTTGTCTAGCAGCTCAAAGAGCCAGGGTGGTCTCCAATGGCCCACAGGACCCTTCTCCCCCAGCCCTGCTTAGTCAAGAAATGCTCTCTTAGTATCAGCCAAAAGACCAAAAGCTCTGTGCTATGGCACAATGTGGGTAATACAGGAGGTATGGGACGCCTGGGCCCTCCCCCTTCTCTCAGGAACCATCTGCTGCTTCCCACCTCAGACCCTGGGAGTGACCTTCAGTCCCTAGAGGAACAGGAGACAAAGGGGTTGGGGGCCTGAAAGCACAGAGTAGGAGTGAGGGGACTGCTTGAGAGGAAGGCTGGGGACCAGAGTTACACTGAGCTCTGCCGGCAGCTTCTGAGCCACAGCTACAGAAACCAGAGGAAAACAAAAATAAGACTCATTTTAGGTTGAAGGGTAGTTTAAAATTTTGGAGTGGACACTGGGGTCCTAGATAATCTGGGGTGGGGCACAGAAAGCCTGGGAGCATGCAATTCTGTGCTGATGCAGCACAGCAGGTAACCACACAAGCACTGATACGAGGAATTCTTGGGTCGTTGGGTATGAAGTGGCAGGGTGCTTTCTGCCGGTCAGTGAGAGTTAACAGGGACAAAGGAGGATCACCAGGGCCCCAGGCCTAAGCAAGATTTTTTACTATAGGTCAATTATTCAATGTAACATAAATTACTTTTTAGATTAAAAAAAAAAAATCTTATAATGACTTTTTAGTGTTGGGTCCCTGTTCTCTCCTTGTCTTTACACTTTTCTATGTCCCTTTGATGACTCTGTCTTATACTATCTTAATCCTTATAATATTGGCCCTGTTTCCCTTAGTCCTCTGTCTCAGATTTAGTGACATGCTCTCGGATTCAAAAGTTGGATCTGGACGGCTCTAGCACTCAATTCCAACTGGGTGATGCTCATGTTCCCACAACAACGTCCTTCCCTGCCCTCTCCCTTTCCATCAACCTTCCCCAAGCCTGGCCACATCCTAAATCCTTCCTCACATTGACGTCCACCCACTCACATCCCAACACCAGCCCCACCCTTGCCCCAGGCTGCCAAGAATGGTTTTTGAAGGTCAGAGAAGCCAAAATAGTCTCTGCTCTCAGCATCCCCATCCCCCCTAAACTGCTGCCAGAGTAGAGGAGAGCTGAGTCACCAGTACTGGGGAGGTGGGGACAAAGCGGGAGGAATCCTTGCTCAGATCCGGGGATGCAAAGCAGCAACATGGCAACAGCCCCATTTGGATAGAGAAAGCCATCTGCAGAGATACAGAACACAAACCAGGCTGAGTTCGGAGCATCACAAAAGGGCAACACCTCCCTTCTGCAACTTCATACTTCTTATATCCTCCCACCTCAAACCTCCTATCCCCTCTCTGCTTTCCAGGGCTCTCTGGGGTGTGCTAAGAGAGACACTTGTGTAGACGTTGGCTTGAAAACAAAATAACATTTCTCACCCCAGTGCAGAGCCCACCCTTATTTTCAGCTGCTACCCACAAGGGTCATACCCTGGCATGGTTCCAACTCACAGTGGAGTTTTCCTTTAGCCCTCACCCTCTGAAGAGCTACCCATCACAACTAACCCTTCACCTGCTGCAATGAAATAGTGAGATGCCTGAGCTCAGGCACAAAGTGAGATCCAAAATCCTGGGTTTGAGACCTGACTCTACCCTTTTACTAATAATGCAATTAAACAAGTCATTTAACCTCTCTGAAAGCTTGCTTTCTGAACTATCAAGTGAATATAATATTAGTACCATTCTCCAATAATGCTGTGAGGAGTGAATGGTACAAAAAATGAAAAAGTGCCAATGAGCTGCTCTATTAATTCAGAATGGTTTTCATGTTTGAAGGTAACAGAACTAGCACTTTCTGAGCACATCAGTGGTAATGGAAAGTCAGACAGAAGACCTCCAAACTGGCCCTTCAGCTGGTGTGTTTTAGAGTCCTAGAATATCTATCATGAATTACAAATTATGAAGCCCTCTGCCTTACCTATAGGTGCTCAACAGTAGAAGTATCAGAGTGTTATTTAAGCTCAGTTTTCCAGTGTTCTAACTGTTTCTGGTTTTGTTTTATAATGCTTGAAAGCTCCTGCTTTTTGCAGGAGTTAGAAAGAAAGGTTCCAAATCACCATTGGAGATTGACTACCTGGTGCAAAATTCACCTAGGAAAGCCATTACTAGATTTGACCGCTAGAAGGAGCTGGACCACTGACTCTCCATCCTCTCCATCAGAGGGTCACTCCTTTGCCAAGTGTGGAAGGGTGTATAGGGAGAGGGGGCTGGGAATGATTGCATTCTCCCTGTCATTGTAGGGTACATTTTTGACCTTTAAAAATTTTTTTAATAGATCTTTAGAGAGAGAGGAAGGGAGAGGATGAGAGAGATAGAAACATCGATGAGCGAGAACATCAATTGGCTGCCTGTGGGGATTTGGCCCATAACCTGGGCATGTGCCCTGACTGGGGATCCAACCAGTGACCTCTTGGTGCATGGGTTAATGCTCAACCACTGAGCCATGCTGGCAGGGTCATTTTCCCCCCTTTTTAAGCATTTCGGCCAAGGGCTTAAGGAGAGGTGAGAGGGATGGAGGTCCAGTATGTGGGGTGGCCAGAAAGGATTAAGTCTTAAGGTACTAGCATATCACCTTGAGTCCATTCTAGCAGCCTGGTTTTCTTTGCCTCTCCATTAAAAAGAGGCTGAAGGGAGGGACAGTGTCTGCAGCTGCTCTAGGCTGACTGTTTTTTGTGGGGACAGCTGAAAGAGAAGCCAGCAGGGGTGGGACTGTGGCTGTCTTGAGCCTTGTGGGTTTTTCCAGGAAATTTTCCACTATTCTCTAGGGACATAGACAGGCCACCAAAAAAAAAAAAAAAAAAAAAAAATCCAAACCTAAAATAATTCAATAGGCTAAAGTAAGCCCTGATCTTGGGTGTATGGCCCTATGCCCCATGAGGACACTATGGCATAACTTTTTGATTGAAAAGATCTAATTGGTGTTTCTATACTAGTGCTTGTTTCTGAGAGGTCCCTGAGAGTAACTATGCATCTCCCTGTAAGCATCTTCCCAAGCATCCTCAAACTTAATTAATTAATTATTCTCAAACTTAATTTAAAGAATGGCTAAGTATTTTGGTTTAAGTTCTGTACATTCATACATCATTCTAGAAAGCAGCCTAATCTTATGTCTCTGTGGCCAAAAGGACAAGGTTAGAGAATTCAGTATAAATTATTAACATCAGCAGTCACTCCCCAAAATTCATTTCAGTCATTAATTTCATCTGCTATCATTCCCTTATCCAATCTTGCACCAAAGCTCCTAAGAGTAATAAGTGGTAAAACCATTGATTTTCAATCATCAGTGCTAACAGAGGAAGGAAGCCATAACATGAATAATTCTAAACAGAAGGCAGCCTCAAAGCAGTGAGTGGCTAGCTTCACAAAAAGCCAGTCACATCAAGAAGATGTCAGCCTCACATTTTGTTTAATGCTACACATATTCCTAAGATAATAAAGCATTAGTCATATTCACCTTGTCTTCTTTCTCTGGGAGCATCTCCAGAAAAGTCCATGATCAGGGAAATGACTAAAGATGTGGCAGTTAGCAGGAGGAGCAGGAAGAGAAGGGGACATGCCTATCTACTATACTGAATAATTGAGAATCATCTATATAAGAAATGAATTCAGTCATTTGATGCAGTAACTGTTGAGTTGGATGAATTTTATATTACATAAAGGCACTGGTATATGGATTGGTGTGTCAACATTTATCAACAACATGATCAGAATGCCTAGCACTTTTATAATGAGATGTAGGGCTTTCTGAAGTCTCCCCACAGACACTGTCATGGAATGAGAGCTCCTAAAATATTATTTTCTCAAATACCTGACCCATTTCTCCCACCCAGCAGAATGGGAAACTGCGTCCTGTGAACTTTGATCTCAGAGTCAAACCTCGAAGTGTGACTAGCTCTTGGAGCAGTAAATCCAGGAGACCCTGCTTCCACCCTGGATTTGATGGTGCTCATCAGCCTTTTGTACCAGATTTCTGCTCTGCTCTGGAGATCTGTTGGCTGAGCCAAAGGAGGAACCAGAAACCATGAAACCTGGAGAGTAGGCTGTGCCATTTGAGGGAAGTTCTAATCAAGGATCTGGGAAGGCAAGTGGGGGATTCAAGGGTCTCTGCAAAGGGAAGCAAGAGGCTGGGGTACACAGAAAGGTGAACACAAAAAAAGAGAGTGAATCTGTGCATGTAGATGATTGGTCATTCATGAGAAGTACCTCATTTCCTTAGTGAATGTCAACAGCTGTCCATAAACAACCCTCTTTTCAGGTAGAAATTATATTCTCCAGGCTGCTTCCACCATCATACCATCTCTCAGCGAAGTGTACTGGGTATGTAGGGATAGCTATGGAGCTTTACAACTTTCCCCTAAGGCAGCGGTTCTCAACCTTCCTAATGCTGTGACCCTTTAATACAGTTCCTCATGTTGTGGTGACCCCCAACCATAAAATTATTTTTGTTGCTATTTCATAACTGTAATTTTGCTACTGTTATGAATCACCATCAGAAATATGTTTTTCGATGGTCTTAGGCAACCCCTATAAAAGGATCGTTTGACCTCTAAAGGGGTCATGACCCACAGGTTGAAAACAGCTGCCCTAGGGAACCCTCCCCCCCGCCTGGCCAATCCTCCCACAAGGCCAGTTCTGCCAGGGAGAGTGGACCTCTGCTCTTAATTCTCGCCTGATGATATTTTTTTCCCACTGATTTTTACAGAGTGGAAGGGAGGGGGCGGGGGGAGAGAGAGAGAGATGGAGAGAAAGAGAGAAACATCAATGTGTGAGAGAGACATTGATTGGTTGCCTCCTGCATGCACCCCTGACAGTGATGGAATCTGCAACCCAAGTTCCATGCCCTGGACAGGAAATCAAACCAGAGACCCTTTGGTGCGTGGGCTGATGCTCTAACCATTGAGCCACACTGGCCAGGGTGGACCTGTGCTCTTTAGTGACCAACCCTCACCCACAGAACTGAGACAAATGATACTAGTTCTGACCTTTGACCTCTGAAGAGAAGTGAGCTAGGTGCCGGGTAATGAAGAGTCTCAATTGTTGGTTCAAATCAAAGGATGATAAGTCAATGTTCCAGGAGAGAATCCCTGTGAGAGAAAAAGAAACAAAGAGGGCTCTAGATTAGGTCAGAGGGGTTGGACATCAGGGAGCACTTCCAAGCTCACAAGAGGTTGGAAAGGAGAGGGAGAGGATAAGGACAACTGCCATGATAGCCTCACTTATATTTTTAAGAAAGGTGGTTAGTGCCTATGCCTATCTCCCATCCTGTTCCCTTCTTGGACTTTGCCTGAGCCAGAGGGAGAGGGGCAGAGTTTAGGCTAAACTTGGTCATTAGTGAGTTTGTGTGTAGCAATTTTGCAGAGTTGTCCAATTGTGATAGAAGTGACACTCAAGGGCCTATTCCCAGATACTGGGGGCTACCTTCCTGCCCTTACAGCTAAGTAGGATTCTAGACTCTCCTTCTTTGCCTCCCTCCTTGCCTCCACCCCTTCCAGGCTTACTTCCACCCGCAGGTGGCTCCGCAGCACTGCGCCACTGCCACTGGCTGGCAACTGGGGAGGGAGGTGAGGACTGAGGGGTTTGTGGCCACAAAGGTCATTTTTTTTTTCTCTTGGGTTGGCCGCCCACACTGGGAGATTTGGGATTTGTCCGCAGCGTTCAGAAAGCACCCTGTGCCTGTGCAGGGATCCTAAAGAAGAAACTAAGGTAGGCACATGGACTCTTCAGGGGAAGGTGAGGACTTTCAGGACATCTGGACCGAGATACTGCGGGACAGAGGGTATGACCAGAGGGGACCCAAGGTCTTCAAAGAGCTACTCCGCCTCCGGGAGATTGCGGAACGGCATGGGGGTGTGCGGGGAAGATGAGGAAGAGAGATGTTGGCAGGTCAGGAGGATACAGACGCGTGACATGGAAGATGCAGGTGACAGGGGTTGATGGTTCAGATTAACAGGACGAGCGGATTTCAGGAAGTGCACAGTAGGAATGGAGAATGCAGACGTACGCTCTCTGGGAGGTAAACGCAGATGGCGGAGAAGCTCGGGATGAAGGACGTCCCGAGCACAGCCAGGACAGCGGCTCACCTTGTTCAAGGTGGGCGCGCACGGCCCTCAGCTGACTCTCTGTGCCGATATCGCCGATCACGATGAGCAAAGAATGTTTCTGCAGGTCCCAGTGTGCCGCGGCCACCGTGGCTCTGGCCTCGCACAGCGGCTCTGCGGGGTAGCAAGACAGCGGTGAGCCGGGACTGGGGAGCCGCAGCCCGGGACTTGTCTCCATGGTAACGCCGCGAGGCCGCCGGGGCCCAGTCTCGGTCTCCATGGAAACTCTGTTTGAGTGCTAGGCCGGCAGCGTCCGCTGCAGGGAGAGTGCGCGCGGTTCTTAAAGGCCGGCGGCAGAAGCCGCCCATTGGCTGCTGCCAGGCAGGAGGCGGAGCACTGGCGCCGCAGGGGCCGGGCTGGGGCCGGGACGCTCCGGCTCTGCGGTCGCGCTTGGCTGGGGACGGGCGGTCGCCGACCCTTTTCCCTGCGGCTCGTTCTCCAGAGGGAGCGCCCACTCCGACCCGAGCAAGGGTGGGGATTCTGAGGGACAGGGTGGAGGGGCTAGTCGATAGATAGACTTATGTTTACCCTACAAGTACCCTGGGGCAATTTCGCGCCTCGCGTGAACTGAGGGAGCCATCTTGTCCCTTTCTGTCTCCGTTTATATCGCTGTCTCCATCTGTGTCGGAGTGTCTGTGCTATTGTCTGGCGCTGTGTGTGCGTGCGTGCGCGTGCCCTCCTGCCAGGGTCTTAGACTTCATCCTCGGTTTCCCTGCCCTCATTGCCCCAGACTCTGGGCGTGCTCTGGAAGGCTGCGCAGTATTGGAGGGACAGAATGACCTTCCGGCCCTGAGTCCCTGGTGAGTTATTATTCCGAAGATAGTGTTTGGCTAGCCTCCATCTTTGCTGAGTGCAGGACTGGAGTGCAGTGAGCTCAGACTGCAGCAAGGGAGACAGGAGTGAAACCCAGGAAAGACCTTCCCAACTACAGGTTATGTGTGTGACACCGTGAGTTGAGCAGCCTTGGGGGACTGTGTTATTACTTCTCCCAGGGAATTCTTAGAACCAAAGGGCCAATATTTGAACCGAAGAGGAGGCTGAGCCTTCCAAAACCAAAGAACCAGGGGATGGGAAGCCGGCACTGTTTTATGACTGACTGGAACATTCTTGTAAAAGTGATGTGTGCTATGAGTCTACCCTCATCCTTTCCTCAACGTGTCTCCACCACCTTACTCAGCACTCAGGGTCTTTTACCCAGGCTGGACCATTCTGTACACGTATGTATCAGTTCACCCTGGGACTTTTTCTGGTCCCACTTGCCTTACATTTTGGGGATGGTACTGTGTAGAAGACAGCACATTACCTGATCCAGCAAGGCCGCCTACGGGCACATTCTAATCCTTTTTGCCTCTGGAGGCCCCGAAGAGGGTTGGGCAGTGTCTGCATGTTAAGTACCTCACAGCAATATTGTTCCCTATCATGGAGCATGGAGCAAAATAGCCGGAAAATTCTGCAATCAATTTGGACATGGCCCTACCTGAAACTAATATTATATGTCAATTATACCTCAAAAAGAAATTGGACAAGGCCTTAAAAATCCTTTTTGTACCAGAGAGGGAGAAATAAGAGTACTGGCATAACATCAGATGGTGGGGGTGCCTCACCCTATATGACACAGAAGACAATGTTCTGCTACACCTCCGCCCCACCATTTGAAGATTCCAGTATGGCAGAGTATGGAGAGATGTGCAGGCCTCCTCTTCTGCAATCAGAAAAGAGTGTCAGAATAGGCTGTAGGAAGAGGAAGAGGACAGTTTCCATAGCAACTGTAGAGATGAGGTCTTTAACTAGTACAAGGCCTCAGTATAAGGGTCAGCAGCAGTTAACTACAAGCTCTGCTCTCATCAAGTCTGACAAAGAGGTTAGACAATAGATCTAGCAATAGATCTGAATGGTATAGGGAAAGATCCACACACTGATGATGATGGGGCAGAAATTCAGGCCTATGATCTCAGGCCCTGATAAATTTAGGCTTTATTAATTAGAGCTGCAAATTTAGACTATGATAGTACCAAAATTGCACATATATATATGTGTGTGTGTGTGTGTGTGTATATATATATATATATATATATATATACTCATACATACTGGATCAGTATTCAGCAGGTTTTTTTTTGCCAAAGGCAGACAATGTCATAGAAAGATTGGCTACAGTTATCTCTTAATTACCCCGACTCTCCTGGTTTAACAGTATCCCAGTCTTTTTTTTTTTTTTTTAATCCTCACTCGACATTTTTTGATATTTTGTTCAGATAGAGTAGGAGGGAGAGAGAGAGAAACATCTACGTGAAAGGGACACATCAAGTGGTTGCCACCTACACAACCCAACAGGGCTGGGGACAAACCAACCGAGGTATGTGCCCCTAGCGGGAACTGAACCCGAGTCTCTCTGGACCGCAGGCCGACGCTCTAACAGCGCCCTGAGCCAAACCGGCCAGAGCAAAAACCTGGATTTTATTTATTTATTTTTCTTTATTGAGTATCCCAGTCTTTGGATGATGATGCCAGTATGTATCATTATCATATTATCAGAAAATATTTTCAAGTGTCAAATGGCACAAAGTACTGAACAAAGTGCTCTAGAAGACTATGTAGTGTTAGCATCTATGCTCCAGAATTTTACAACTGAAGACAGAAAACACTGATGCACATGTGTATAAGGCATTGAAAGCTGGATAAAAACATTAAAGAAGTACATTTACTTATAATATGAATTATAAAGTATATGAAAACTTGTGTTTAGGAATAGTGTGCTGTGACAGGAGCCTACTACCCAAGGGGACTATTGGGGACATGTGATATGCATTACTGTGAGGCACAGGCAGTAGTAGTATGTAGTGGTTATAGAAGCCCACTGTAGTGTTTGATTTTAACTGTTGATCCCTGGACTGCCCAGGTATGATTTTGGGGGAATTTTCCTATATTTTTTTTCTATACTCTTGTCATGCAGCATTGACAGATAAAGTGGTTACAACCAATGCTTTTCAAATGATTTGTGATTAAGGATCCTTGAATTGTGGAAGGGGTCTCTAAGGATCCACCACTAAAAGAGGTTAGAGGAGGTGCACAGGAAGGCAATATTATAGGCTTATTCCTTGGGTGCGCAAAGGAGTGGGCACAAGGCAGAAGACAGTATAAATCTCAAATGGTAATTGTAGTCTTGGCTAAGTTTAAGTTAGGTGATTCTCAGTCCCCAGACCATCATTTCCTAATGTACAGTAATTACCCAATAGGTAAATTATACACATCTTAACAAAGTAGGAGGGGGAATAACAAGTGGATATGGAGAAAAGAGAACCCTGGTACACTGTTGGTAGGAATGTAAATTGGTGCATCCACTATCGAAAACAGTATGGAGGTTCCTTAAAAATTAAAAATAGTACTACTGTATGATCCAGTTATTCCACTTCTGGATATTTACCCAAAGAAAATGAAAACACTAACTAGAAAAGATATATGCTTCGCTGTGTTCATTGCAGCGTTATTTACAACAGCTAAGATCTGAAAACAACCTAAGAGTCCATCGATAGATGAATGGATAAAGAAGATGTGGTATATACAGGGTTAGGCAAAAGTAGGTTTACAGTGGTGAGTACACCCATCAGAGATTTTATTCTTGTATTATTACATATTAACTATTGTATTATTTTCTATACAAATAACTGTAAACCTTCTTTTGCTCCATCCTGTATGTATAATGGACAATTACTCAGCAATACAAAAAATGAAATCTTATCATTTGTGACAACATGGATGGAACTAGAGGGTATTATGCTAAGTGAAATAAGTCAGACAGAGAAAGATGTGTTGTATAATTTTACCTATCTGTGGAATCTAAAATCAAATGAACAAATGAAACAAACTCAGATGCAGAGAATAGATTGATGATTATCAGAGGGGAAAGGAGTTGGGGGAGGCAAAATGGTGAAGAGAGTCCATTGTATAGTGACGGATGGTAACTAGATGTAGTGATCACTTTGTTGTGTATACAAAGATGGAATTGCTATGTTGTATATGTGAAACTAATATAATGATATATATCAAAGTATGAGGGGCATCTCTAAATTTTTTCTGGAAATAATTTTATATTTAGCATTTAAATTAAATTATTGAAGTCTTCATGAGAAAATCAGAATTTTCCACTCATCTTGGCATTATGTGTGTGGGGGGAGGGGAGCATCAGAATCCTTTAAATGCTTAGGGTCTCAGTAGGACTTAGGCCAGTTCTAATAATTTATAAAGAAAATATATTGGCTCCTCCCTTACTTCTAGACCAATGAATGTCATTAGTTTTCTGGGGATCTGAGTTTGTTTGGCAGAATTCCAGCCTGCTCTGTTGGACTGCATGGTCTTATCAAATAAAATATCCAAAAGAGCTGCATGCAGCTCAGATTCCCATTCTGTTCTCAGTTCTGCCTATAAAGCATCTTTAGACACAGAGAGGAGTGTTAGATTACAGGATTGCTGTGTCAGAGGCTTATCCTTGGCTTTTGGACAAAATACTATGATCATAATGTATACCAGCAGCCATAGGGTCACCTCTTAGCAGGAACAACTGGTTTATCTGCAAAGGCACTGAGTAAAATAACCTCTAAAAAGGTTGAGATGGGGTAGAGTCTGCATTTATAACTATGTCTGACACGCAGAAGAGGCCCACAATAAATATTTTTTGGACAATTTTCCTAATTATTCCCATTAAGTAATGAGAAGAGCATAGGTGCTGGGTTTACCCTCCGCCTGCAGAGCATTGCAAAGGACAACAAAGAAATTTCCCTTGCCCTAGCCAGGTAGTTCAGTTAGTTGGAGCATTGTCCTGAAGCACCAAGGTTGAGGTTCCATCTCTGGTCAGGGCACATACAAGAATCAACCAATGAATGCATAGATAAATGGAACAGCATATGGATTTCTTTCTCTCTCTTTCTCCCTCCCTCTCTGCCTCCCTCCCTTCCTCT